CCCTTAACATTTTTTCCTTCATTTCAACTTTGGTGAATCTGACAATTATGTGTCTTGGAGTTGCTCTTCTCGAGGAGTATCTTTATGGTGTTCTCTGTATTTCCTGAATTTGAATGTTGGCCTGCCTTGCTAGGTTGGGGAAGTTCTCCTGGATAATATCCTGCAGAGTGTTTGCCAACTTGTTTCCATTCTCCCTGTCACTTTCAGGTGCACCAGTCAGACGTAGATTTGGTCTATTTCACATAGTCCCATATTTCTTGGAGGGCTTGTTCATTTCTTTTTACTCTTTTTTCTCTAAACTTCTCACTTCATTTCATTCATTTGATCTTCAATCACTGATACCCTTTCTTCCAGTTGATCAAGTCGGTTACGGAAGCTTGTGCATTTATCACGTAGTTCTCGTGTCATGGTTTTCATCTCTATCAGATCGTTTAAGGACTTGTCTGCATTGGTTATTCTAGTAGCTATTCGTCAAATCTTTTTTCAGGGTTTTTAGTTTCTCTGCGATGGGTTTGAACTTCCTCCTTTAGCTCGGAGAAGTTTGGTTGTCTGAAGTCTTCTTCTCTCAACTCATCAAAGTCATTCTCTTTCCAGCTTTGTTCTGTTGCTGTCGAGGAGATGCGTTCCTTTGGAGGGGGAGAGGCGCTGTGATTTTTAGAATTTCCAGCTTTTCTGTACTGCTTTTTCCCCGTCTTTGTGGTTTTTATCTACATTTGGGCTTTGCTGATAGTGACATACAGATAGGGTTTTGGTGTGGATGTCCTTTCTGTTCGTTATTTTTCCTTCTAACAGTCAGGACCCTCAGCTGCAGGTCTGTTGGAGTTTGCTGGAGGTCCACTCCAGACCCTGGTGGTTGCCTGGGTATTTCAGCAGCGGAGGTCAGGACAAGAGTGAATTATTGCTGTTGCTGTCTGAGTCGGTTGCCTCTGGGGAAGCTTCGGTCTCAGATGTATCTGGCGATGGTGAGGTGGTGAGGTGTCAGTCTGCCCTAGTGGGGGGATGTCTTTCCCAGTTAGGGCTACTCGGTCAGGGACCCCACTTGAAGGCAGGACAGTCTGTCCGTTTTCTCAGATCTCAAACTCCGGTGGCTGGGGGCAAAGACCACACCTCTTCAAAAGCTGTCAGGACAGGGACTTTACATCATGCAAGAGGTTTCTGTGCCTATTTGTTTGGCTATGCCCTGTTCCCCAGAGGGATTGGAGTCGTACAGAGGGCAGCAGGGCCCGTCTTGAGCTTGTGGTGGGCTCCACCCGAGTTCAGCCTTTCTGGGCAGGCCTGGTCTGTTTTGATCTACTTAAGCCCTCAGCAATGGTGGGGGTGCCCCTCCCCTAGCCTCGCTGCGGCTGCCCTTGCAGGTTAGAGGCTCAGGACTGCTGTTGTCTAGCAATGAGGAGGCTCCGGGCGTCGGACCCCTCCGGAGCCAGGCACGGATATAAAGTCTCCTATTGTGCCCTTTTGCTATAGACCGCTTGGTGAAAAGCACAGTTGGTTTAGGGTGGGGGAGTGTGACGCCCATTTTCCAGGGGTGGTCGTGTGTTCTCGGGTGTTCCTTGACTTAGGAAAGGGATTTCCCTCCTTGTGTTCCGCGGTGAGGCGGACTGCCTGCGCCTGTTCACGCTCGTTCACTCAGTTGGCTGCCCCACTGTCAAACACGCCCCAGTGCGATGAACCCCGTACCGCCGTCAGTTGGGAAGTGCGCAGAATCACCGCAGTCTCCATGTTGGCTCACGGCTGGGAGCTGGAGGCCTTGAAGCTGTTTTCCTATTCGGCCATCTTGGGCAGATCCCCTCAGCCTTTATCCTTTTAAAAAGCAATTTTTTTTTTGAGACGGAGTCTCGCTCTGTTGTCCAGGCTGGAGTGCAGTGGTGTGATCTCCGCTCACTGCAAGCTCCACCTCCGGGGTTCATGCCAGTCTCCTGCCTCAGCCTCCTGAGTAGCTGGGACTACAGGCGCCCACCACCACTTTTGTATTTTTAGTAGAGACGGGGTTTCACTGTGTTAGCCAGGATGGTCTCCATCTCCTGACCTCGTGATCCTCCCACCTTGGCCTCCCAAAGTTCTGGGATTACAGGCGTGAGCCACCATGCCCGGCAAAAGCAATTTTTTTAGAGATGGGTTCTAGCTGTGTTGCCTAGGCTGATCTTGAACTCCTGGCCTCAAGCTACTTCAGCCTGCCGAACGGATGGGATTAGGATGTGAACCACCATGCCTGCCATACTTTTATCCTTTTCAAGATTGGATCATCTCCTTTCTGCTCCTGGAAGTAGTGGATTCAAGTGATCGCTTGTAAATACCTTTTCCAGCCCAGGACTCTCCTGTCCAGAGTGTTAGTCCTGAGGGACTGTGTGATGAGGCCACAGGAGTTTGACGACAACGTGCTGAGCTTTTTCTCAGCTCTGCCATTTGCAGGCCATCTGGGTGAGCAGCGTTACCTGCCTCCCTGTGGGGTAGGTGCTGAGATAATCACAGCACGCTTCTCCTGGCCCCACGTGCAGCCTGACTGGCTGCCATCACCACAGCCGGGGCCCCCCAGTGCTATGCGCTGCTTGCCCACACCCAGGTCTGACTCTTATCATTAACTTGATGACTTTTTTTTCTCTTCCCTTTTTATATCTAGTCAGTAAATCATAATTTTTCCTACCCAGCACTAGTGATTTTATTTTTTTCCCATTCCAATTCATTTTATGGACCACAACACATTGTTCTGTTAAACATAACACTTTTTTCTGATTAATTTTGTAAAGTTTTTGTTTTTGTTTTTGTTTTTGAGATGATGTCTCGCTGTGTTGCCCAGGCTGGAGTGCAGTGGCGTGATCTCGGCTCACTGCAACCTCCACCTCCTGGGTTCAAGTAATTATCCTGCCTCAGCCTCCTGAGTAGCTGGGACTACAGGTGTGTACCACCACGCCCAGCTAATTTTGTATTTTTAGTAGAGACGGGATTTCTCCGTGTTGGTTAGGCTGGTCTCTAACTCCCAACCTCAGGTGATCCACGCACCTTGGCCTCCCAAAGCGCTGGGATCACAGGCGTGAGCCACCGCGCCTGGCATAATCACCCTTTTATATATACTTTTATCCATTTTCTTTACATTTAATTATCTAATTTACTAAAAATAGCTGGCAAAAATAGTTATTTAAAAGATACTTGTGGTGTAGATGCTATTGTTAAATTTTCAATCCATTCTTGTTTTATGGGGTTTACTAATTATGCGTACTTCATTCCCATATGTTAATAAATGGTTATGGGATTATTCTTTTGTTTGCTAGAACGGTGAACACAGAAATCGAGGTGCAAGCTCAAAAAGAGATGGGACCAGCAGCCAGTAAGGATTGCGTGCCCTGTGGTCGACCTTGACGTGTGCCGCTCTCGTGGAATGCTTCAGGGAATTTTCTTACTGGCTCCAGTGCTGGCCAGTCTGTGGGAATCAGTTATACTTCATTTTCTCTAGATTTTACCCCTTAGCCCCTCCAAATGGGTTGGTATGTTTTAGGAATACTAGAGGAGCTTGGAAACTTATTATGAAATTATTAGTTTTTTATTTTGCCTTTTAAATTAATTATATTTATTTTTATTTTTTCCATTTTAATATTATTGTTTCTATTTATTGCCTCAGGATCTGTTTTTGTCCTTTTTAACATTTGCTCATGCAAAATTAGAAAATTGGTACTGACTTTGGGGAGAATAATTCACTTGGGAGCCTCTTCACGTGCAAGAGGGCGTCCTCCCTGCCCGAAGTTAAAGATCCACAGGTGGGCGGTTTCGCCCCTTTACAGACCTGAGCAAACCATTCTGGTTCACAGCCACTAAAAACAGTACATGCCGGCAAGTCCCCCTCTGCCCGTTGTCGCTTGTGAACACCCAGGAGGGAACATTCCACCCTGATGCCTTGGCAGAGACCCCCAGAGCTGGGGGTGGGGGTCAGCCTTGGTTGGAATTTCCTATCTACCTTTTAGTTGCAGTGTTGGGTGGCCTTTCGCTAAAGCAATGATGGTAATTCCTGTGTCGTGTGGGTTTTGCGAAGATTATAGATTAATTGGAGTTTCTGTATAAACTCTTTTTTTTTTTTTTTGAGACAGAGTCTCACTTTGTCACCAAGGCTGGAGTGCAGTGGTGCGATCTTGGCTCACTGCAGCCTCCGCCTCCCAGGTTCAAGCTGTTCTGCCTCAGCCTCCCGAGTAACTGGAACTACAGGCACACACCACCACGCCCAGCTAATTTTTGTATTTTTGGTAGAGAGGGGGTTTTGCCATGTTGGCTAGGCTGGTATCGAACTCCTGGCCTCAAGTGAGCCACCCACCTTGGCCTCCCAAAGTCTGGGATGACAGGCGTGAGCCACCGCGCCTGGCCTAAACTCTCATATATAAGCCCTAGACTTTAATTTGTTCTTTCTGACAATCAGATTTTGTAATCCTTTTTCAAAGATTAGAAAACCCAGGTTAAATGTCTTACCCAAATTTTTACAAGTTTGGGCAAAGCTGACACTTAAACCTCGGGTGTCGGTTCCTGGGTTTTATACTGCATGTCCACTAGAAGGCACAAGAAGACTCTTTTGCTCAATTCAGTACTTTTGTTAAACCACATGGTATATTGGTATGAATGAAAGTTTAAAAATTGAGAATCAGTTTGATATTTTGCACATCTTTATTTTAGGTCCTAACTAACATGAAATGTGATTTAAAAGTAAAACATATTTCAAGATAAATCTTTCTTTTAGAAATATCTTTTATTTTATATTTGTATTACATATTATATATTTTATTTTATATTTAATATAAAATAGTATTTCAGACAGACCAATAAAATTATAGAAAATTTCTAGAACTCTGTTTTTTGAGACGGAGTCTTGCTCTGTTGCCTAGGCTGGAGTGCAGCGGCATGATCTTGGCTAACTGTAACCTCCACCTCCCTGGTTCAAGCAATTCCCCTGCCTCAGCCTCCCAAGTAGCTGGGATTACAGGCACATGCCACCATGACTGGCTAATTTTTTTGTATTTTTAGTAGAGATGGAGATTCACGGTGTTTGCCAGACTGGTCCCGAGCTCTTGACCTCAGGCAGTCTGCCCACCTCGGCCTCCCAAAGTGCTGGGATTACAGACGTGAGCCCCGCACCCGGCCAAGAACTCCTAAAGAATGTAGATTTGCACTCACACACAAGTTTGTTAAAACACGTAATTTCTTCTCTGGAAGATATTTTCTGTCTTGAATTATTGCTAAAAGAGTAAGAATGCTAGGAAGACTTTAACATTGATTGCTCTAATAAAACATGCTTTGCTAACCTGCAACAGTTTTTTTTTTTAAATTATTTTTTGAGAAAGGGTCTTGCTCTGTCACCCAGGCTGGAGTGCAGTGGCACAATCATGGCTCACTGCAGCTTCAAACTCCTGGGCTCAAGCAATCCTCCTGCCTCAGCCTCCCAAGTAGCTGAGACTAAGGCATGTGCCACCATGCCAGGCTAATTTTTTATTTTTGTAGAAATGGGGTCTACTCTGTTGCCCAGGCTGGTCCCGAACTCCTGGCCTTAAGCGATCCTCCTGCCCCAGGCTCCCATATAGCTGGGATTACAAGTGCAAGTCGTTGCCCCTGGTTATAGTAGTTCTTAATCATATCAAAATATTGTTAAGAACTTTCACTGATATGGAAAATGTTTTATTTTTTAAAAGCGCTCATTTAAAAGTAAATTTTGATTTTGATTATGTTTGCTTTCCAGGTATGCTGAGAATTTAGTAAGGAATCACGGAAAAGATAAAGATTCAAGACGGAAGGTAAGGCAGTCTCCACTGAGGATACATCGATTTTATGGTACATTCAGATTAGCCATCATCTTAGTTTGGGCTTCCCCTTCAAAGCAGAGGCTGAGACAGGGCTCATTTGCAGATGGTTTGAGTGGTGATTCCAGAAGGCACACTAGAGACTTACGTTAGGCTAGAAGACGCAAATAGGTTGAAAGTAAAAAGCTGGACAAAGAGAATCTGTCAAACAGCAGCTATGAGAGGGCTGGACTGGCTATACGAATATCAGATAAAACAGATTTTGAGACAGAAAGTGTTACTAGAGATAGACAATTCAGAATGACCAAATAATTAGTTCATCAAGGAGATGTAACAATTGTAAATGAATATTTACTTAACAAGAGGGCCCCAAAACACAAGCAGCAAAACCTGACAGAATTGAAGGGAGAAATAGGCAATTCACAATAATAGGAACTTTAGCACCCCACTTTCAATCATAGATAGGACAATATTTTATGGTAACAAATTAGGTAATTTAGATGAACGGACAAATTCCTAGAGACTATCAGTTACTAAAACTGCTAGAAGCAATAGGCTGAACTGACCTATAGAAAGTCAAGAAATTACGTTTATGTTAAGAATCTCCCCACAAAGTAGCTCAGGCTCTGATGGCTTCTCTGGCAAATTCTACCAAGCACATGTTATTAATAGTCACTTGTGACTAACACACACGCGTAATCCCTCTCCTTGCATAATTGTTTCCATGTGTTAAGCTACCTTGTGACATGTATTTATGCACCAGGAGAATTGTACCCTGTGCTGAGCTTGTCACTTAGCACATCAGAGTTTCTCCACAGTCTTCATTATCTCCACCATCTCCAATAGTATCATAAGAGGAGTCTTCATAACGATTACTTAGTAACTAAAATAGCACACTGTGGAGTTAGGGTTATTATTAAACCATTTTCCTCTTTTTGTTTTGTTATTACAGATAATGTGGCAAGCATATTTTGAATTTTATGAATTATTTCTGGAGAATAATTTTTTCTTTTTTGGTAGTTATCTGAAAGCCATGACCTTGAGATAATCATATTTAACAATTTTCTGCCACATATATATATATATGCGCTGAGTTGGAGTCTTGCTCTGTCTCCCAGGCTGGAGTGCAGTGGCGCGATCTCAGCTCACCTCAACCTCTGCCTCCTGGGTTCAAGTGATTCGTGCCTCAGCCTTCTGAGTAGCTGGGATCGCAGGCATGCGCCACCGCACCCAGCTAATTGTTGTATTTTTAGTAGAGACAGGGTTTCACCATGTTGGCCAGGCTGATCTTGAACTCCTGACCTTAGGTGATCCACCTGCTTCGGCCTCCCAAAGTGCTGGGATTACAGGCAGGAGCCACTGCGCTCAGCCTTCGTGCCATCTTTTTATGAATTGCTTTATTCTATATCCGTACACAAACATGATTTTACATAAATTAGGTCATACAGCACCTGTTGTTTTGACGCAGATGTTTTATTTATTTAATTTTGATGGTGGTGGTGGGATTGCTTATTATCTGGCTATAGCCACACAGTTACCACAGGAAAAAAAAGACCTACAAATATTTCTCATATAATCTTTTATAATCATATATTGGTATGTATATTTGGAAATTTGGAAGCCAGTTTTAAACATTTACACACACACACACACACACACACACACACAGCCCTCCTGTTCTTCCTAGTTCATTGTGGAAATCCCTCCAGTTTGGATGTTATAGATCTACTGTGTTATTTTTGTGGATACATTTCTTGAAGTGGAATTGTGGAATTATTGGATGAAAACATATAGATTTATTTTCCTATTTTTTTCATGTTTCCCAATTTTTTCTCTAAGCTCCAGGTTGGCATTGTTAACTAGAATTATAACGTGAGCCACATTTATAATTTTAAATTTTATTTTTTATTTTTATTTAAAAAAATATACCAGATGTTCGAGACCAGCCTGGGCAACATAGGAATTCCTCATCTGTATAAAAACAACAACAACAAAAGATTTTAAAAAGGCCAGGCGTGGTGACTCAGGCCTGTAACCCCAGCACTTTGGGAGGCCAAGGCAGGGGCATCACCTGAGGTCAGGAGTTTGAGATCAGCCTGACCAACATGGTGAAACTCCATCTCTACTCAAAATACAAAAATTAGCTTGGTGGTGGACTCCTGTAATCCCAGCTACTTGGGAGGCTGAGGCAGGAGAATTGCTTGAACCCGGGAGGTG